CTAAACTACAGCTGCTCCTGCTCCTGAACCTGTATCTGGCTGCTATCGGCGTCAGGCAATCTTGATGGCGATGATGAGATTTCATAAATAGATGGGATGCGCTGGCGTCTTCATTTCTTATCTCGAATGTTCATATTCTTGAATTGTTTGTTTGCTCACCGACGGCCCACTCTCGCCAAAGGCTCTTATAAAGTCCTCTGGAGACAGCGTGACATCCGCCATAGTCCCATCACGACCTGGATTGACAGCACGTATTGCATGCCTGAAGGCGTTTCTGCAGAGCTCCCTCAAGTCGGCGCCCGATATCCAGAGGAGTGCTTGGCTATCTTTTCGATATCCACCTTTAGCTGGTGCGGATCAAACTTGCACAAAAGCCGTCTCAGAATCGCTGCCCTGGAATCTTCTCTGGGCATCTTTATGTGGACCAGCTTCTCCAGGCGGCCAGGACGAAGCATGCCTTGTCAACATCTGCGGTCGATTTGTTGCGCCAATGACAAAAACACCCTTGCAGTCGATCATGCCGTCAAGCTCCGTCAGGAGCTGGGTCAGTACTCCATCCAGCGTGGCGCAGCCTTCGTTTACACTGTGCGTTTCTTTGTGAGTGCGTCGATCTCGTCAAAGAAGATGATGCATGGGGCCACCGACCGCGCTCTGGCAAAGATCCGGCGCACTCGGGCCTCAGACTCGCCTACGTATTTGTCGATTAGCTCTGGCCCACGTATCTGCAGGAAATGCGTCCGTCCCGCGTTTGCGGTTGCTTCGCTAGAATGGTCTTTCCACAGCCTGGCGGGCCATAAAGAAGCATTCCACGTGGCAGCGGCATACGGTATGTATCAAAGGTGGGCTTGTGATCAACTAGGTCCTCGATGATGCTCTTAAGCTCAGTAATGGTGCTGTCCATTCCACCAATGTCGTCGAAGCACTCGGCTGGGATGGTAAAGGCCATTTCCCGCAATAGAGACGGTTTGACAACCTTGCGCGCATGCTCGAAATCTTCATAGGCAATATATAGCCTAGGCGATGATACGCTTGCTGTCTGTTCGCGCTGTGCTCTCGCTCTGTGTGTAGTCGATGGCGCCCTGCCTCTGTGCACAGTAGTTGGAGATCGGCACCAACATATCCATGCGTCCTCTTAGCCACTCGTCGATTATAGTAGGTCTAGTGTCAGGGTCCAGCGACATGCCATCCAAAATCTTTGTCAGAATGTCCTTCCGCTCCTCTTCAGTTGGGATACCTATCTCAATCTCATGGGAGAAGCGGCCAGAACTACGAAGGGAATGGTCGATTTCGTGTATGTAGTTAGTGCAGCAACGACCGTGACGTCCGGTAAGAGCTGGTCCATCAGTACCAATAGCTGCGACACGAGAGTGTATTTGGAGGCCTCTCTGTTGTTGGGGTCTCGCTTGGCTGCAATGGCGTCTAGCTGGTCGATGAAGAGGAGTGCAGGAGTTTGGCTGGCTGCTTCGTCAAACTTTTTACACAGGTTCATCTCAGACATTCCATGGCTTCCTCAATAACCTCAGGTCCATTGATGCAAAGAAACCTCATTCCGACCTCACTAGCCAAGACTTGGCAATCAGCGACTTTCCGGTGCCCGCAGGGCCATGTAGGATGATGCCGCGTGCCTGCTGTATGCCGAGCTGACAGGACAGCTCGCTGAAATCTCGTGATGCGCAGACCAGGTCCTTTCAGCAGCAATTTTCCTTGTAGCCTCCAATTACGCGAATCTAGGCAGCACTCTCGACGCATCAATGGCGAAGACATGAATGCAATCCGGGTCCTTGATGCGACACGGCCCGTCCTCAGAAGTGTACATGACTATAAAGTCAATACTTTTCATTGATGGCACACGACAGCACGTCCCCCTTCACGACCACGGTATCTCTGTATGTCTGGAAGAATTCCTTCACCCCTCCTTAAGCATAGTAGTGAGAATTCCAACAGGCTCGTATCGGCTTTGGCTTCCAACGGGGAAACTGATACTGCCGCCTTGCCTTTGCTCGGGGGGTAGATGGCTGTACTGTCAATGGGTGCAAGAGTAATAATTTCAGCCTCCTTGGAGTGTTCAAGACGCTCTACGGTGATGGTATCGTCCAGTTTGTAGCCTAGGAGCTCGCGGAAATGGTGGTGGAGTTCAATGGTTTTCATCCGCCCAGGTCCCCATTTGCAAGGAACTATAGCAGATACGCCGCGTTTCCACAAAGCGAATGTAGGTGACATAGCCCTGCACGACCTTGTTCTTGCCATTGACCACCTGTGCCTCCCAATAATTCTGATAGACGCAGCTAACAACCTTAGCTTATACGCTTTGGAGGCATTGCACTTTGTCGTGTTTGCCATCAGAGGCTGCTTTAATATAAGAAGGTGGAAAAATAAAACACAGAGTGTCTGGGAGGAAAGAGGGGGCATCGTCTTGCTCCTTGCCAGCGCAGCAGGATTGACAGCTTGTCAATTTGCTGGATATGCGGTAGATACATGCACTATTCATTCTATCTAAAAGACGCTAGTTTCAGCTTTCTTTGCGATTACAGGCATGGCTGGCATCTGTGCGTTAGTTCTTTGGGCCCGCTTCAGTTTGCTATCAGCCGCTTTCTTTGCATTCGCCCGGATGAGCTGGTCCAGTGCACGCATATCGGGGTGGTACTGGATGACCTTCTTTGACACACGGAACCCGATGTTGGTGTCACGAATGAGCCACTGCACACTGCGCTTTCTCTCTGTGCCTGGAACCAGATCTCTCGCATATACCGGCGTGCTGGGGTCTGATCCCGACAGGCTGTATCTGGTAATAAGCAGCGGAGTCTCGCTCACAGCCGGGAACTCGATCTGGCTGTCCGGGCCCAGCGCCTTTTTCATGTTCAGCTGCTTGCGAGTCAGAGCGCCTAGGATCCGGATGCTCTTGACATGGTCGTAGTACATGAGCTGGACAAAAGCAAGAGGAATGAACCCAGCAGCCATGATTGCACCGGCCGCCAGAACCGTGTAAATGTCGTCCGGTGCGCACCCAAAGACTCAGTGCAGTCGAGCAAAACACGTTGACCAGGAACACCATGCGCAGATGCCGGATCTGCTTGAACATGGGCATGTCGTACATGGGCAGCTTGATCTCGTTCTTCGGGTCTGGCGACTGCCGTCAGTAGCCGTTGCCGGCGGCTTCGAGGAATCATTTAGACTGGCTCTGGTGCTGTGAAATGCCCCGGTACAGCGTCTGGTTGAGCGAGTGTAGGCGGGGCTGCTGATGGTTCAAAATACTTCCTGGCCGGAGCATGATCGGAGAGATAGTCGGTCGAATGGCCCATACCAGCTGTGGCTGATCGAGCAAACAGGCGCGAGACCCGGACTAGCGGCCTGTACACGCAGCATATTGTGGAAAGGAAAAAGAAGGGAGGTAGAACTTCAAGGACAGGGGAGTGCTGCTCGCTAGCTACAAAGAGGCGCAAAAAAACCGATCTCGATAGTGTACCCATGAAAATAGCTTGCAGTTTTATGGTCAGCAGCACACCCTGGAGATAAGGGATCTGATCTCCAGAGCAACGGAAGAACAATGCGACTTCAATGAACGAGCATAAGAGATATCCGGGTATTTATATGAAAAGTGAAGCTTTGTGGCAGTCTCTAAGATGTGCTGTTACTTTGTCCTGGTGACCACCGACTGCGTCACACGCTCCAGGGCCTCTCTGGCCTGCGATGGCGGGAATACCTCCAGCGCCTCCCGTGCCCGATCAACGTACATCTGGGCCAGTAGTTTTGTGCGCTCCAGGCCCTGACTCTTGTGCACCAGCTCCCACGCCATCGGCACATCGCCCTCATTAGAGAACTTCCGGGCCACAAGGGGCCCAGCTCTGGGTACTCTTGCCAGGCATACAGAACCGGGGCTGTCGCCAGACCAAAGCTCCAGATCAGCACCTACAGGCTTACCAAACTCCTTGGCGCTGACAGTGAAGTCAAGCAGGTCGTCAATCAGCTGGAAACCAATGCCCAGGTTGCGGCCATAGATGTAGGCGGCCTCGACAACATCGTCTGTAGCATTGCTCAGCACGGCTGATGCCCGGCAGCTCTTGGCAATCAAACTACCCGTCTTCAGATATGTCTTCTCCAGGTAGTACTCGAAGGCGCGGTCATCGGGCTTGGCCATAGGCGCGCCCTCATCCTCCAAGTTCTTGAGCTGTTTGAAACTCGCCGTCAACGAGGTCCGACAGCACACTAGCCATGATCTCAATGACCTCGGGATCACGCAGTCGCGCCAGCCCCATGGATGCTCTGGCCAGCAAAAAGTCGCCGGCGAAAATGGCCATCTTGTTGCCAAACGCCTGCTGAATCGCCGGCAGTCCGCGCCGGGTCTCTGCCTGATCAATAACGTCGTCGTGCAGGAGCGATGATGTATGGATCATCTCCGGTGATCTCAGCCAGCCGCCGGTGCGTCGGGAGAACTGTCAGCCCTTGCCGTGTCTGCGGCGTGTACGGGTTGCCGCCGTTGGCCCCACGCGCCGCGCTCTCAATCAACTGGTTCATCTCATGAGACTCAAGGTCGCTCTGGATATTCTTGGAGACCGGCCCGATCGATCAGCGAATAATCAACATCAGACGAGCCAACCAGCATTGATGACATGCCCTGGCGCTTTGTGGGCAATGCTGGTCGCCTGGGCCACCAGCAGCACCAGAAGCGGCCGGATATGCTTGCCTGACGCTGAGAAATAGTATTGCGAGACTGTGTTTAGCATTGGATGTCCGCTCTCCAAAAGCCTAGCCAGGTTATCTGTCCATGAATGAGAGCTCGGCACCCACCAGATCCTTCGGGTCGGCAAGATTCTTGTCCTTATCACCGACCACCTGGGACGCATTGTCGAGGGCGCTGTGCCAGTCGTGCGCCGTGATCTTTTCCGGTGCCTGGATCGAGCTCGCATTGAAAGGCCGCTTGAGCTCGTCCACCAACGATGCCTGCGATCCCGGGACTGGGTCTCGCGGCCCAATCGCAGCAGACTCCATTAGGTGCGCAGCCTTGGCGGCATGCACAGCCAGCTTGCCCAGGGGCCGCACCTCCGACGGCTTCTGTATGATGGTGCGGGCCAGAACGCCCAGCTGGCCCAGTGGTCCCTTTGCCTTTATAGCCATTTACAAGAAAATTAGTGCGAGGAGAATAGAATCGGCAAATTGAAAAAGAGAAGAGTCACCCAGTGGGGGAGAGAGAAAGTGGGCGATGCGGGGCAGGCGCGATATGATAACCGAGGCAGTGCGGTGGACTTTTTTGTACGCTGCAGCTTCGGCGCGAGCTATGCGGGTAAGCAACGAAAAAAAATCCTGAGAGATTTGGCGCGGGCCAGATTGCGCAGGGTTTGGAATACGAGACCAAAGATCACGAGATTACGGAAAAGCTTAATATGCTGGAAGGTGTCGCTTTTTTCTCAAACAGAACCCTCTTGCCTCCTGGAGGCAATGGGCGGCCCAGCGCTCTTTTATGACAGCGCCAGCCGGTCCATCGTACATTGCATATGAAGTATACAGAATACTAGTATGTGTATGTGTATATGCACCGAATAAAAGTAGGATACGAAGGTGGCGTCAGCCGTTGCACACATTGCGCTACAGAAAAAGCAGAAAACCCCTCGTTTGCTGAAATGAGAGCATCGCAGTTATTCGCCCCACCACGATAGTAAGCCCAAGCCCGAGTCATTAATGCCACAGACAAGCTGGTACGGCCGGCTTGACGCCCTCCTTCTCGCCCCGGGGGGGATTGACGTCCAGAAAGTCGACACGCAGAACCCTGAACCTAATGTCCTCGTCCAGATCCATAAACAGGTCATTGCCCTCATACCGCCACACCCACACGCCCTCGGTCGCGTCAAACTCGCAGCCCTGCGGCATCAATCTCGGCCGGCACAGAAATATCGTCAAAGAAGCCGATCGAGATCTGAACGCCTGCGGGGCTGGCGCTGCGCACCTTGCCCACGAGGATTTCGTCGCGGAAGGGCCGGAACACAGCCATGCGGAAATGAACTTTGATCCATATCCAGCCCTCCGAGTGCTGGACGTAGCCTTCGTCGATCTCTACTAGGTCGTGGACTAGCATGCAGAGGCCGACGTCGTGCAGCACGCGGTTCGAGTATTTGCGGTTGATTTCGTCTTTGATAGCTTCTTCGCGCGATTTGCGGAACTCGGCTGGCAGGATCTTTAACGTGTCGTGGATTGATGTCAGCACAAACATGGCGGGTATGGAGCAGGAGGGTTGAGAGTGCAGTTATCTGTATTGTGGCAGGTGGCTGCGGCGCGCGTGTATTCTGTAGAAATTTGATGGATGTCCGTGGGGCTGGGTTTTGTGGGTCCAATCTGTAATTAACGCTGGAGGACAGTTTTGTTTTGCTGTGCGCCCTGTTCTCCCTCCACAGTCATGAATTTTGTACCATTTGCACCATTTGTAGTATTATAAGTTTTTCATTTCGCCAATGGCACCTGTACAGAGACGCCGGAGCTTGCGATTAGCTGAGAAAGAGGCGCTGAGCAAAGCGAGTGGAGACAGTCGGACTGACAAGCCCGAGCGCAAAGGACGAGTTATCGCGTCGCGGTACATGAACAGCACAAAATCTAGAGCTGCAGCAACAGCAGATAGCAGACCCCAGGCAGCGCCGAGTAGGGCTGCCAGAACTGGGCCGTCACGGCCAACCCGACCAGTCACCGCGAGATCCACACCAGCACGAAAGTCAGCGACATCAACAGCTACAAAACGGGCAGCAGCAGCAGCAGCAGCAGAGCCGATAGCAAGCAGACCACAAACTCCACGACGGCCCACAAGGACAGCTACCGTAGCTACACCTCGGCCTACAGCCAACCACGCTGGACCAGCAGCTCCTGGGAGCAGCGGGCTTTATACGGAGTATATTCAGTGGTGTCTGCTCGAAGCCCGGTCGCAGCGACAGTTCGATGAGGCCAAGCAACTTGCTGATAATGAACTCCAGCGGCTTCTAGAGGAGGCAGAGGCAGAGAAACAGGCATTGCTCGAAGAGCAGCGCAGATACAAGCTGATGCGGGAGCTCACGGCGCTGGCCAAGTGGCTCAAAGACAACAAGCCCTTTATGGTAGACATGAAAGGGTGTATTGACAAGGTGAGGGAGCCGTACATGCAGCTTGCGGGCCAGGCTCAGGGATACGACGCGGGCAATGCCGGTCACAGGCGTACACTTTGAGAGCAGCGCGGCACTGGTCAAGGACCTAGAGCAGTACATGGAGGCAGTGAGAATGTGTTTCTCGGGCGACGATGCCAGAGATATGTTCAAGGTCGCAGAGCTGCTGCGCACGTACTATGGCGGTACCGAAGAGGAGACTGAGCTGATGAGCGAGTGTATCAGGCTGAAGGAGTCGCTGGCAGTAAACGCAAACATGGCTGTCAGTGGCAATCTCCGTCTGGGGTAACTGAAAGCGCCTTGTTTGGCCAAAAAAAAAAAATAGCACCGCCTCGGAGTGCGAAAAATAGCAACCTCACGCTGTTTTCCGAGCTTCTCTGACCCGATGACACAGCACCCCAGACTCTATCCGCCTTCTCTTCTCTGCTCACTTCACCTTTCTTGTCATTACCATATAAATGTCTGATAGCCCTCGGCGTCCAGGAGCAATTCCGACGCGACAGACCTCTAAAGACAGCGAAACAATCAATGTCGACATATCGGACTCGGGCAACCGGCTGTCGGCGAACAAATTCACGCCCAGGACAGCCCATCTGCACAATCCGTCGGCAGACAGCCCACTGAATGTGCCGCGGTTTCCTCTGCCAGCAGAGTCCTCGATCGACGTAGTCCCATCTGTGGGTCTGCAGGACACTCGGCGGGTATCTGGCAGCGACCCTGCAGTTCTGGCAGCTGCTGAGGCTGGCGTCAAAACCATGACCCCGCCAGCGGAGGACGACGAGCAGTGGTACCGGGACCAGATTGACTATGTGCGGAACCAGGTGGAGCTAATGGAAAACGTCGAGGTGCAGCGCGACCAGGAAGCGCGGCAGATCCGGTCAGCATGGAAGCGCGAGCTGTTCCTCTTGTTCGAGGATCCGTCGTCGAGCCCGTCGGCATTTGTGATCAATGTGTTTGTGACGTTTATGATTATCCTGAGCGCGGTGCTGACGACGATTGAGACGATTCCCTCGCTGCGCAAGGGCAACTCGCAGATGTGGTTTGGCTTCGAGACCGGCATCGTGGCAGTCTTTACGCTCGAGTTTATTCTGCGATTCCTGGGCCACACCGATACCTGGCAACAGGCATGGAACTACGGAAAGTCGGCCATCACTATTATCGACGCGCTGGCTATTTTCCCGTACTATGTCGAGCTGATTCTGCACCGCGATACATCCTACGAATTCCGGTTCACGATCCTCCGAATTTTCCGCCTGCTGCGCGTGTTCAGTGCCTTCAAATACTCGTCGCTGCTGCAGCTGTCAATTGAGGTCATGATTGTCGCGGTCAAACGCAGCTCAGACGCTCTCTTGGCGTTCCTGCTCTTTGTCGCTCTCACTGTCACCCTGTTCTCGACGCTGATGTACTTTGCGGAGCGCGGCACATGGGATGAGGAGCGTCAGGCGTTCTTAACTGCGAATGGCGAGTATAGCACGTTCTCGTCGATTCCAGCCGCAGCCTATTACTCGATCGTAACACTGACTACCACAGGCTTTGGCGATATGGTGCCGACAACGTTCGTTGGCAAGCTGATATCGTTCCCGATGATGATTGCGGGCATCCTGCTAATCGCGCTACCGTCCATCATCGTCGGCCGTAATTTCACGCAGGTGTGGGAGGCTGCGCGCAAGTACCGTGTGCAGCCGCCCAATGTGCGTGTGCAGCGGATCGGTGACACACTGATCGAGGATCACGTCAGCAGCCAAGGCTCGGGACGTGCGAGCAGGCGGTCTCGGCGGATCCGGCACAGAGGGCGTCGTGACGGGAGCGTGTCGTCATTTGGCTCTGGCGGGTCGCATAATACGTCGATTGCCCATGTCGAGCGGCCAGGCGGGTATACGAATGTTCCAACTGGCACCAATCGCCTGCAAAAGGATGCCGATGACTACACTGTACGCGCCGATCCGATCGCCGAACTTGCCCGTAAAGACAGCTTTGAGATGCAGGAGTTTGCTGCAACCCCTACGCAGCTGCCGGAAGAGCGGGCCGATGGCTACACCCAGGTCGACACCATCTATGGGGCTGACGAAGACGACGAAGAAGGCATGGAAGGCAATGTAGCCACGTTTGCCAGGTATAGAGACGACACATCGTCGATGCGTAGATTCAAAAGTGTCAAGGGCAAGCAGGTGGTGCGCGGTGGCAAGCGGCGATCGATGCTGGAAGACTCAGATACCGTAACTGTGTCCAGGGCAGAGTGGGACACACTCAATGCCGAGCTGCAGGCGCTGCGCAGTGCTGTTGGCGGCAACCAGATGCTTCTGAAGGCCATTGCTGAGCATCTGTCGGTACCGGTACCAGCACCGGAATCAGACAAATAGATTGCATTTTAAATAAACTCGGTTCAACACTATTCCAGCACCTTTGTCCAGTCGTACTTGTCCCACCCAAACTGCTTCTTCCACTCGTCGGCGCGCTGGAGCCGCTGGTCGCGCGATTCCCTGAGTCGGCGCGGCTTGCGGTACACGCTCGGCGGGAGGTCCAGTATCCCTGCAACCACCTCGCGGCCAAACCACGGCGGGAATGTCTCTGGGCTCTCAATTACATGGCCCAGGCCACCTTTCGGGTCGAACCACACATGGAAGTACGGCATCTTTGCTGTCATCGTGTTGCGGAACCCGCCCCTCCTGATTGCAGCCCTGGCCGCTTCGTGGTTCTGGTCCTGATCCGTCACATTGTCGTTCTCCGGTCGCACGGCCTGTGCCTTCAGCGATGTATCGATGACCTTCCTATGCTGGCTCCACTCGTCGCTGATCCCAAGAATGCCCTGCTGGAATACAACATGCACATCGTCCATGTGCTTGAACGGAATTGGCACGCACTCGATAACGCAGTGCGTTGACTTAGTGGTCGACATGACAGTTTCCAGGAACACCACGCCCATACGCCTCTCCATGAACATGCGCATCAGGCACTTCATAAAATTGCCAATCTCGTCCCACGTATCGTCGTCCAACTTTAGCGAGCTGCCAGAGCTGTGCTCGATCGGCGCAATAACGCAATGTCCATCATTCATCGGCTCGCGGTTTGGCAGCGCCAGGTACACGCGCGTACCCAGCGCTATTATTGGGAACTGTGGCGGTGTCAGTAGTGTCGAGCCATCAGACTGCGACGACTGCTTGAAGCACAGTTCGCAGGCATTGATCGCTGCCTCCATGAGGTTGTAGTCGTGGATAGCCGCTTGGCGCTTCTGCTCCACAGACTTTCCCTTGGCCTGCTTTGTGAATTTTTCAATGTTTTCGTCCATATACTCGAGGTCGTTTGAGAACCCACTGTCGCCCACGATTTGTTTCGCCAGTAACCTGTCCGCAGGGTCGTCGTCGTTTTCGCGTTCGGCACGCGCCATCTGCCTGATCGACATGGAGTCCTCCGATCCCGTATCAGCAGCTAGATTCAGTAGCCGACCGCTGCTATCTGTGCGCGGCAGCACCACAACATTATCCTTTTCTGTGCTGCAACCGGCACTGGACTTTGTCTCGCCTGCTAGAGCCTCGGCGAGCTGGCGTTCGAGTTCGGGCAGGTCAGCAGATTTACGAAGCTTGGCTTTCATGATTCTGGCGTGCAGTTTGTTCAGATCGGTGGACGCCTTTGGAGTCTTGCTTTTGTGTTTACTTTCACGATGGGGGCGGTGGTGCTTAGAGGAGGGTGAGCGAGACCGCGAGCTTCTTCGGTGACGGCGACGGCCACTGCTCCTGTCTCCATATCTGTCCCTGCTCCTGTCGCGGTATCTGTGACGGTCAGACTTTGATGATCGGTGGGATGGCGAATCGTCTCCCATGTTTGAAAATATGTAACGCAAAAAATATATATACTCCAGGATATATGTGAAGTATTCTGTGTTTTAAGGTAAAAGGGGCATGCCACAAGAATGGTAGATTATGGTGATGCACATGTGACTAGCTTTAGTCCAACCATTGGCATTTGGTATTGCCATGTACAGCAGCTCTTCGCATGAACTCAACTACTGTAGAGCTGATTGAACCCATCTAGTACTGCCTGCCTGTCGCTTTGTGACGTAAATTCTATTACTTCTAACCTTTCAACATGCGGATGCGGCTCGAATATGTGCTGGTTCTGCTCAACCGCCACTGTCGAATTTTGCAGAGCAGACAAAGCATTCATAGGTTCTATTTGGATTGGGTGTAGCCCCGTCGCCTGTAGGTTAGTCATAAATTAAAGCAAGTATCTTTAGAAGAAAATCAATAAGGGGATAACGACGGAAAACAAAGTATAAAGCAGCTCGTCCTTACACTCATTCTTGCCCAGCCCTTTAACTCTTGACTTTCCAATGAGCAAGTCGATATGTCAGATGCCTTTCCATCCTACAAGGGTATTGGTGAACATGCTATTCTTTTCGGCGAGCAGGGCGGTAAGAATAAGACAAGTCAGCCGAGTTTATTGGCCATAAAATAATTGCTTCAGGGGCTCCATATATCGAGTTGGAGCTCAAAACCTCCTTTTGATAGGGAAACCATGGAAAAACTGTGCTCAAATGAAAAGATATTTGTTTTTCTTTGAAAGGTTGCAGAGAATAATATGTATTCATACTTTTGGAAATAAGGGCAATGCCCTTAATGACAGACATGAACCATGATAGAAAAAGAAAGGGGAATAGTTTAGATTTCAAGCACAAGTGGCAGCGGTCGTTTTTGAAACCGAGCCATAGCATCCGCTCTGATCAGCTGGATGTGGGATTGGTTTGGATATATGCTGCGATGACCTTAAGAACAAAGCACTTTAATTTGTCTAGAGGGGGGATATTCCCTTTATTGAGAAATTTGACGTCTTGGTGTGCTCCTTGCATATGCTTTTGACACGAGGCTGTGCCACTCAATACATAGGTGCAGACAAGGCACAAATACTTCCCTTGATCAACTGGAAGAGGCGCTACTTTCTGTTGTTCTGTCATATGGAGTGAGCTGACACCGCTGGCAAAAACGATAAATGAGAAGACAAATGGACTTGCTAAGCAAATGCGCTGTATCTGTATCTCTTATACTGCTAACTATGGTTGGTGGTTGACCTTTCTGGAGTCGATTGATGGTGAGATCTTTGGCCATCAACACCCAAACTTTCTGTCGGATCAATATTTTCTGGCTGCGAAGGTGTGATCAAAACAGCGCAATACATGTTTTTGGAGACTCTAGTCGTCACACCTAGCCACGCCCACACAGGAATCAACTTTATTATTACGCAGGTCTGTGGAAGGCGATATAGCTACAGCTAAGCTCATAAACAGCCTTACACGCCGTATCACAGCACATGCAAAGGACACCCTGTGAGCTATCATCAAAGGGTGGTATGGTGGCTAAGTGATATTTCGGGACAAGTTGGATAATCATGACTTGTACAAGTATGTAAGCGAGGGCTATCGCCGCTCATTCATTCTGAGCGCAATTGCTTTTGTATGCATATTCAACGTTTGCCTATATTGCCGATTACCAAGTGCATATGATAATATGTATGTCGTGCTCCAACGCAGTTATCTTGCATTCGTTGTTTACATGCCATACACTGGTATTTAATATAATCGCGAGAAATTCACGGGTTGATATCAAGCTTACATGGAACATGGAGATACTTTATTGAATATTGGAAACTGTCCTTTATTTCTCTTTGCTACCTGGAGTATGATATTCCCTTGTCGACTTTTGCCTGTTGCAGGAGTCACACGTTTGTTTCCCATGCTGTTTTCTCTGCTGGTCATATATTCACAGCCGTTTAGTTCCAAGGAATCCATGCTCGTCATACATATGATCGAAGAAAGCGTCAAAACCGCTCAAAATCTTCCAGTACAATACTTGCAACCCCAAGGATCCATGGATTTCGTGCTATAGTAAAGTAGCGGTTTTTGCTAGATGGAAATTGTGAATGAGAAAGTGAAAAGAAAACAAATCTCTTCAAGTCTCTTGAAGATTATGACCGACTGGGGCATCTATTTATTTTCTTGGCCAGCATACTGTCCCTTCGCACTGCCCAATTCTGATATGAATCACTTTCATGAATTTGGCTGGACAATTTGATATCATGGCGCCATTCCCGAACAAGCAAAAGCTTGTTGGGTTTGAGTTGCATATAGTGATTTGGACTATCCTACAGCTCACTTGCAGAATTGACAGCGGCAGGTACCTTGGCCAATCCCATTGACTCCGCAGCCTCTAAATATAGTTGGTCGTAGCGACCTGCACTTTTTTTGTAAACCACTATGCTCATTACACTCAATGCATTAGGTTCATGGTTGTAGGAGACAGCTATCGAGCTATGCTACCGTCTAGGCATGTCTTCTTCATGATGATGGTTACATATATGTACTGGCTGGAGCAAGCCTGCGGTAGTCTATCGTTTCCTTGCATTACACTGAGCAATGTGGTCGAGACAGTCTTGCTTGAGTCTATACTGCGCACCGCACTTTTTGCAGTACCAGACTGAATAACTGTTGGCGAAGAACATGCGCTTGGTGCTATTAGGTATTGCCATTAGAAATATGGAGTACTTGTCAAAAGAGACATAAAAGTGTATACGTTGTGCAACAAGAATGCACTTGGTATCTCTCATTTATATCGCCACCTTCCAGAGCTTATCTCAGATTTTTCAAAAGTGGCATAGGTCATACTTGCTGAAAAATCTCACTGATATATATCACCTGCACTGCTAGCACAAGCACAATCGGCTCTGGTGCGCCCCTATTTGAGTATAGCATGATCAAACAACCACAAAGTAGACTAAGCCGGTGTGCAAATAGTTGGAAATGCTCCAGACGATATACCCAATTACCATTGCTGCTAACGCCTTTCTAATTACACTGCATCCCCTAGCTGCATATACCTTCTACCGCTATCCATATTGTATTCCGTTACATATAGTTTTATATGCAGATAATTGCCCACGTAGTAATTCATGTCGTTGAAAATATACAACTGAATGTTGTGACGATATCTATAATAGAGATTCGTGGGTTATAAGGATTATGGGCATACATCCATGTTCCTAAAGCTGATTCTCCACCCAAGGAGTTCGTTAATATACTGACCATTATCGATGTTTATTTTATGAAACAGCAAAAAATAAGTGCATCTGTGAGACACCTTGACATGAGGCGTCATTTCATTCCCAGCTTGTAGTTCCTGGCAAATCAATATAACTTTACCATTTCACAGGCAGCGGCTGATAGCTGCATAGCAAAATGCTTGCTGATGAAAGTTGTAGATTTGTTATATTGTGCACACTATGTGCAAAGGAGACAGGCGAATAAATTATTTGGCAGTGTCGCTTGGTCATATTTATACCTAGGCTCTACGTATTCCCCATTCCATGCATTTGTATAGGCAATTGTCTGGGATGCAAGGCTATGCAGTTACAGCTAGAATAATATTTACCAGGTTTTGTTGTATTACAACTACTATTGAGTGGATTGGATGTATCGTCCACGTGGTTGAGGGCTCGATCATATGAAGTCCAATGCAGTAGGATTTCATCAAAGTGAGAATGCTCAAGTGACAGCCACTAGCTAACCCATAGCTACACAGTCGAGTTTTTCCCACTAAAAGAGCTGTTGTGGCTTGGCACTATTTGCAAGCCAGGTTTGCACCTATACCATTCCAAATCTTCAATTTCGTATTGTTGTAACTATGTATTCACCTGCACAAACGCTACCGTCACTTGTCCTCGAACAGATCCTCGACTTTGCAGTTGGAAGTTTTCCGCACGAGTTCACTCCAGAGTATGCCTGCGACTGCGGCCCATATATGCGTGTGGTTCCTGGCCTCAGTTTATGTCGCAGCTGGAGAGATGCAGCGCTGTCAAAGTTGTATGGCGTGGCCTGGTGGTGCAAGGTCCCGAATTGCTCGCAATGCTACACACCGAATGCCACAGTCGCAAATTGCCTAGGGGGCTACCGACTGCTATTTCCACTGGTAACCAGTATCGCGTCAGAAAAGTGTCGCTGCATTGGAAGGTCGAGGCTATCCTGGATGGTACAGCGATCATGCGGCCAAGAACTTTGCTAGGCAAATTGGTAATGCCATCAGTCACCTCCCTGGACTTTTACTTTTGCTCGGACCAACTGGAAGTGGATCAGCGAGGCTAAGAAGATGGAGCATGTCAAGGCGTTCTGCAGCGAGATATACCAACTGTTTCCTTCCGTGCAAAGCTATCATCTCGTAAAGTTTGACGGGTATGATGAACTCAACGACTACCCTGAAGTTCCGGCTATAGACAGCCTTATTACTGGTCTGACCAAACACAAGACGCTGGTCGACTTTTCGTGCTCGGCGTTCGTTATTGTGGTTCCCCTTCCCACCGATGGCCGTGACCTGCGCTATGTATCAACCACCGCTCTCGAGGCTGACCAACACACAATCGAGCTTATCCGGCGCAGTGCCTCTACTC